CAATACTTAAAGTTGTTTTTCGCAAAAAAATATTAGAAGCGCGCTCAAATGTTCAAATGAGCGCTTATTGGGGAGGACATTTTTTGTCGCTGAATGTGTATCTAGTACTTTTTTAATTGATGAGTACAACATGCGATGATCGTAATAGACGAGGAATAGCCACAGCGATTTCCTATAGCCACAACAAATAAAATAATAATAATAATACTTGTAGTGATTTAACCTTCTTCAAATAATATAACATATTGTTTCATTACATCCATTGGTGGACTGGCCACTGGCAATTTATTGCCAAAAAAAACCTCGATATTGCTGCTCTACAGATGAAAGAATCCAGCTAGCCTTGATTTTTGTAGCAATAATTAAGTTGTATATATGTACCTACTATTAGATTTAGTTTCATATTATACACATTTATTCCATCAGCGTTAAATTTAACGCGATCGAAAAAGTAAAAAGCTCGCATTTGACACAGTATGAGATTTTTAATGGCTAAATGCTTTCACAATATAACGACATTTAAAAATTCTTACTAGGTAAGTTCGGTTATATTGGTTCTTATTCGATTAATGTTTTGTGATGGGTTTTTGAAGCTTCGCAAGCGTGTAGATAGCTTCACGTCGATCTAAACTTGACGACACGTTTGGCTCAGTTTGTAGTGACAATACATGCTGTGCCAGAGGTCGCGGGTTCGAGTCATGCTGAGGACATTCATTTTTGTGATGATCACGAATGTTTGTACTCCAGTCATGGATGTTTACATTTAAAATATGTATGTATTTAAAGTTATATATATGTAGTGTATCAACTATCTGGTATCCATAACACTAGCCTCGTAGCTTATCATGGAACTAGATGGTGCTGTGTGTTAATGTCCCAACATATTTAAAACTTATAACTTGTTTCAGATGACTGTGGACCAAACGAGTATTTCAGTGGATGTGGCACTTGTGACAGCAGTTGTCTAGTTCCAAACCCCATCTGTGTCGACTCGTGTGGCCCGCCTGGTTGCTTTTGCGTACAGGATTACGTTAGAAATTCCTCACAAATTTGCATTCCGGTAGACGCTTGCCCCTGAAGAAGAATGCTTGCGATTGAGATAACAATTCGTCTTGAAAAACATACCCATATTTGGTGTGAAGACTATATTTTGTACTTTTAAAATGATTTTTGAATGTTTTTGAATTTAAATCATAATAAATTCTCTATAATTTCGTATTTAAATTGTTTAGTTTTCCCTATATATGTATAATGCAGACAAACTTACACACATTGTTTATATAATTTTAAGACATCTTCATATTATACGAGTATGTGCTAGCGACTGCTCGAATCAACCAACTAACTGCATTCTTCTCATTTTAAACTTACTTTCATGATTACTACCAATGCATACAATAAAACAGTTTAGCGAAATTTTTACTTGAAATATTTTTTTTAAATAATGACTCCGAAACAATGGTTATTAGATTTTTTTGTCTGTGTGCGTTACACGCAAAAAGTACTAAACCGATTTTAACTAAATTTTGTATAGTGATAAGTTATTATTCTAGTCAACATTTAGGATACCTTTTACTACAGATAATTTTTTGGTTCCCACGGGAAAACACATTAATTGGGTCTGTCAAGTCGTTCTTATTAATTTACATTAACTATGTAAATTATTAAACTGGCTAAACCTTGAGAGATACATGAAAACAAGCTACTAGAAAATTGTAGGTTTTAAAAACGCTATAAAAAAGTCAATTTAGTAGCCTATATGTATATATATTATATGTCTATCTCTCTGTTGTAATCCTGTTAAAATCGGCTGAATTATACCTATGCCAAAGAAAAACTTTGATAACCATTCTTAAATAAACTTTAAATTTTTCTAGTGTTTAAATATTTTTTTTATGTAAGATAAATTTTTGGGTAATAATAATGTCATAAAGTTGCTCTTTTATAATAAAAGATTGTACATATTCTCATGAACAATTCTATAATGAAATAAGTAATAAATAAGTAATAATAATAGAAAAATATCTCCTAGATATATTTTAATATTTTTTTATTTTTTTTCCCAGAGTAAAAAATCGATTAGATTCAGATAAAAAACAAATATTACAATTTATGATTACTATAAAAGGAAAAGTAATATACCACAATAAAGTGTGAATTTTTCCATCATACATATTTTTCCTCTTACGTAAACCGCAACTTAGTTTTCCTTGATGTTTAGATTTTTTTTATTTCTTATAGTTCTGTCAAAGTATGCAGTCTAAGTAAGCATTAGAAATATACTTTTATGAGTTACTTATACTATCCTACCCGACGGACGGTTTGTTCTCAATTTTGTTGACGATCTTCAAGTTTATACAAACAACAAAACAAAAATTCCGTAGAATAAGGACTTTCAGTTTTAGCCGAATTTTCCCAATTTTCTGGTAACTTTTCCTTTTTTTCCAATAAATCTTCGGACTATTACAAATGAAAAATGTCATAATCGCACATCAATGAACAGCAATCGCTTTTTTATATCTATACTATAGTAAAACAGTAGAGGTCAGAGGAGGAAACCGAGTCAGGGGGATGTAAGAAGACAAATAGAACAAATCCAGATTTTTTCAATTTTTTTGTTTCTCTGTCTGTATGTCTGTTTGTACAGGCTAATCTCCGAATCTATTGGACCGATTTAAATGAAATTTTGTATGGTCGTACCTTATATCCCCGGGCAACATCTTAGATACTTTTTATCCACGAAAATTAAATAGTTCCCGTGGGATAGTTAAAAAACTATAATAACTTATACAACTTATGCACCTAATTTAACATTCTGATTCCTATATTGCCAGTCAAACAACAGGTTACTTTTCGTCTGGGAACAATGAACGGTTCCCGTGGGAACTAATAGATCTCTATTAGTGTTTTTCTAGAGGCAAACCCGAGCGAAGCGAGGTTGAGCCGCTAGTATACCTAGATATAAAAAACGGTTTCTAGTTTATCTATGACATTGTAATTCTAGTAAGTAATTATTGAGGTAATTTGTTACACACGTCTGCCGACTGCCAATATTACTGTGATTATTGGTTATGATTATAATTATAATATATTATAAATAGATCCGTATTCTAGAGATGTTTATCAAAATAAAAACTCACGACTAAATAAAACAAACAGGTAAAGTGCTAGAGTTTTTGTCGATGCGCCTTTTTTAAGGCATAATAAGATAAAATGGTTTTAACTTTCCGAAATCATAACAATTTCATTTGAAATCTGAGAAAAATTGAACGTTGAGTTTATCGTGCTGCCTAAACAGTTTGATATATTATCTATACATATAATCAAATTCTAACTAAGCCGAATTTATACATTTTTTGGAAAATCTTATTGAAATAGTCATTATTAAGGATATAGAGGCAGAATCTTAGTTTTTAGAACTTTTGTCTGTCTGTCTGTCTGCGAACGCATCACGAGAAAGCCACTGGACAGATTTTGATGAGGTATGATGATAGCTGGGTCAACATACAGAATACTTTTTATTGCAGGAGATTGCTCTGAGAAATCTATACTAACCGTTAAAACGAGGCATATCAATGCAGTCCATAGCTTATTTTTTAAAGCTAAATATACTACATAGTATATATTTGCAAAGTTTTCAAAATCTTATCTTTATATAGAAACATCGCTAAATCGATATCGAAAAAACTTTAAAACGTATCTAGGCGCGAACCCGAGAGGAGCGAGGGTAAGTCGCTAGTAAAAACTAAAATGTATAACATAAAGACATCTAGAGGTGCAAACTAGAATTGCATAAATATGCGGAAGGCGCCATCTATTGACGTTCACCACAATACTGTCCAAAAACAAAAAAGCTATTTAGTATTTACACAGATAGCAGAAATTTTCCCAATCAAATAAAATTATAATTAAACGAACAAGTCGGTTCAGATAAATATATATAATTATGAACTAGCATTGCTCGCGGCTTCGTCCGCGTTCATATGACCAAAAGCCAAATTCTTAGGTTTTACATATTAGTATACAGTACGTAGCAGTTTTTGTATTTTTTCTCAGAAATGAGACATTTTCCCGCAGTAAAAAGTATCCTATATGTTGACCCGGATAACCAGCTATGACCATACCAAATTTCATCAAAATCCCTCCAGTAGTTTTTCTGTGATGGGGTAACAGACGGACAGATAGACAGACAGACAGAAAGACAGACAGACAAAAATTCCAAAAACTATATATTCGGCCTGTGTATCGATAATAATATCTATTTCAATAAGATTTTCCAAAAAATATTTAATGTACAGATTCGATTCAGTTAGAATTTTATTATATGTATAGATTTAGTAATGGAAATGATTTTAATAAATAAATAAATATATTGGAACATTAACACAGAGTATCATCTAGTTCCATGGTCAGCTACGAGGCCTATGTTATGGATACCAGACAGTTGATACACTACGCATATGTAACTAAATACAAACAAACATATTTTAAATATAACCCATGATTGGAGTATAAATATTCGTGCTCATCACACAAATGAATGCCCCTAGCGGGATTCGAAACCGCGACCACTGACACAAGTAGAAAATCTTAACAATTTTTACTTTTAAGAATTTGTACACGATATCTGTACTTATACTATATATCTTGACCTATACTTATACTTATATATCTTGACTTATATTTTGCATACTTTAATCTGGTAAGGAGCTTCGTTGTTTTTCTCCTTAGATATTAGCATCTGATCATCATCATTTTCGTACGGGATCGCGCGAGTTTTACTTTCAGATAAAATGGAACCACATATTGTAGAATAATCAATAGATATACATCCAAAAAAGACGAACATATAACCTTCTTTTTGGAAATCCAGTAAAATCAGCTAACACTTGCTGAAAATACTGTACACGCGCAAATTGTATAAAAGGAGGTGCTTTTTGAGATCACTTCTATTTTCATCGTATTTCCCACACGCGTTTAAACTCTGACAAACAATAGCGATGAAGGCAGTATTATTTTTGTGTTTGTTGGTTACACTCGTGGCTGCACAAGACGGTGAGTTAAAAAATCATTTAGATTCACTCTTGCTTCATATGGCTTAAATCTATTTAAATTCCATATGATTTCAACAACAATATTATTTTTTTGGTCATTGCATCTTGAAAATAATAATTTTCTTTTATAATATTTAATTATTTATTTAATAAGTTTAGGTAGAACTTTCCGGCTATTTTTTAAGATTTTCAAATCAAATCAGTGCATCGTGTTTTTTGGTTAGTTTATTTAGTACATAAATACATGTCTTAATCACCTAATTGTACTAGGTAGTAGGTACTATTATAGGTCCTCCCGATATGGTACCATGCGGGTTGCTCCTGGTACATCTCTGATAGCAGAGTGGATCAAGGGAGCAACCCTTTGCTTGTATGGTCTGCATTTGGGGCGTCATTTCACTACGTAAGTGACCCTGTGGCGACTTTTCTAACCGGTGAGTCCCATATAACCACCTATACGTATGTAGGTGGTATGAGTAAATATGATTCCCAACATTAAAAATAAAGTACTATTATAGGTATAAATAAATGCGAGAGTTTGTGTATTCCTTTACGCTTAAATAGCTGGTAGTATTAGGACGAAGTTTAATATACAGATTGATGTAAGTAAGCTGGAGTAATTAAAGGGTATTATAAGTAAAAATTTTACCAAAAGGTGGCGCTACTAGTATAACATGTTTGTGTAATATGTTTCAGAATCAGGTAGCTGTGGACCAAACGAAGTGTTCCGCTATTGTGGGACCTGTCAGACTACTTGTTCTAATCTAAATCCTATTTGTATATTTGAATGTGGTCGGCCAGGCTGCTTCTGTACTTCAGGTTACACTAAAAACTCAGATGGAGCTTGTATACCAATTTCAGAATGCCCCTAAAAAAATTATAAAAATCACGATAGATGGGATCGTAGTAAAGTGTGTTTTGATCATATAATATAAATGAAAGGAGCGTGTGTGTGCCTTCACACAATTGGTAGAAGTGAAACCATTGCAACATGGCAATGTATTCTATCTCATTCTCTCGCCGGCTTAATCCTATACATATATGTGATTGTCTCTTTTTAGTGTCGCATTTTCGTTTCATTTCCGTTTCATCGAGTTTCAAATCACAACGATTCTAAAGAAGTTTCACTTCACATAATATAACTTTTGGGCAACTTTTGTATATTTATTATTTACTTTGTAAAATAAATTTAATGATAATATGTTCATTTGTTTGTTTTTCTCTTACTAAACTTTTTAAAAGCATCATTTTTAAAATTAATTAACATATACAGTACAGTATATTTTATGAACAGTTTTATTGTTGGTATAATTATTCTTATTATTTCCGTACTAAATAAACGTAGTTTAACACAACATAACTGATTAAACAAAAAAATAATTTTGGTGAACAATTTGAAATTATTTACATAAAATATGCCAAAACTTTTTAAATTTAGTTATAGTAAGTATTCTATTGATATTGTCAATATTTTTTTTAAATTTACTTTTTAATTTATATTTCTGAACTCATCAATAGATGGCGCTGTCTAAAAAAGTTAAAGAAAGGAAAATATTTAAAAAAACAAGTCATCTTTGAAATGCGCTATATTCTCTCAGTTGCAATAGACTACAAAAGTTAAAATATATATTAACATAAAGTTATAAGGAAATATTCCACTCGTAATAACCTATCAATCTTCGTGCAACCAAAACCATGGAGTAGCCATATTTAATATAAAAATAAAGAAATTAAATTAATTAATACAATTTGTATATAAATTACTAGCCGCCTTTAAAGTAATAAGTATTTTTTTAATGTTTTTCTTTTAATTAAAAAATTAAATATGGCTACCATTTCACCTTTTGACTAGATGATAAATCCACCAAGTAATATATTTTAAGGCAAAATTATCTTGTAATCGAACTAATTTAAAATTAAAATTGACATTTTAAGCATTTTTTAATCAAACGTAGGTAATGTTGCCAGATATAAATAATGTAAAATAAAGTAATTTTGTTGTGTAAATTTTATTCAGAATAATCTATTATTTTTGAATTGAAATCAATTTTTTTTACAAATAAAAGAAAATCATTTCAAAACAAAACCTAAGAAATATTTTAATTTTTAACATCTTAAAATTATAGAAAAATCTAGCAACACTACCAAAATCATACAATTTTGCCTTGAAACTATGAAATCAAGCAAACATTCCTTATATGAATATAAACAAAGGCATTATAATTTTTCCAAATTCTAAAGCAGTTGGGCTCAAGCTATCGTATCAAAATGGTTACAGCTATATTAATTTTACTGTTTACAAGAATATTTCGTTGGAATTCTCTATTGCTTATGATTTCCTTACAGGCTTTGTAATTTTTAAACTCGATTTAACATATAATTTTACGCTAGCTGTACCTAGAAGTATGAAATAAATATGCGTTACATATAAAGTTATTTATTGATGTAGTCCAAAGTTACAATAATATTGACATAATATAGTCCATTTTATTAGAAATCCTTGACAGATTATAAAAAAAGTGAACTGTCAAATCGTTTCTTAAAAAAATCATAGATAATATAGAGAAATGAACGTTGTATTAATTCAGATAATTGTGACGGATAGTGTGAGCGAGACAGAACGATAACTTATAACTGTCTCTTTTTCTGATTAAAACATAAACAATAATTAGAAAGCGACATTATATTGACTGCGTACATGCTGTCTCTTTCTAATTATGTATTAAATATTATAAAGATTATACTCATCGATCAAAAAAGTACTAGATACACAGAGACAAAAAATGTCCTCACCGAATGAGCGCTCATTTGAACATTTGAGCGCGCTTTAGACTTTTCTTGTGAAAACAACTTTAATAATTGCATTTAAGGTTCAATTTACATTGTTGTATATTTATTTCAACTGAAATAATTACCTAAACACAATTCGTGACAGTTTTAAGAGAACTTTTGGATGGGATTGTGTATCTAGTATTTTTTGATCGATGGTTATACCAGTTCATTTCTATATATTATAATGGAACTAAAAATTAAAATACAAATAAACATTCATCGAAAGGTAACATGAAAACGAAAAAACATTGTACATAAAAGGCACAAATAATTTAAGTACCTAACTTTATTCAAAGTTACACTTAAAACTATCTCGCTATTTAAAATATATGTAAGTTATATTACATTAAGTAATTGATTAATAACTCTAAAACCATATGAATAAATAGAACAATTTTGAATTGTTCCACACGTTTTATGAAAGTTCTTGATTATTTAACGATTTTATTTTATTATAATATAATACATATTCTACACCGGACCCTTTGCAAAAGATGGCCAATATTTTGGCACCTATATCTAAATTCGTCTGAACTACGCCTAATTTTGGATATTTTCTACATTTAACTATGTACATAGGAACAACTGTGTTTCTGTGATTTTATATGATACCAAAATTTTAAACCATAATTAATGGCCAAGTTTAATCTGTGATCAATTTGTAGTCAATTGGAGAATGGACACTTTAGTATGAACCTTGGACCTATTTCTAATAGTGATAAGACATGTCACATGAAAGCTTATACTTAATTCATTTTACGCAACCTAAGTTCAAATTCAACGTCAAAAATGTGTTTTTTGTATGCAATTATTTTCTTATCTTTTATTATATTTTCTATTCTATTTTCTTATAAATAATTTATTTTATAGTATATCTTATCGTCACAATACATATACACACTATGAAAATTTTAAGTTATAATTACAGAATACATAGTACATTTTAGTTTAGGCAATTTCCTTAAGAACTTTCATGTGACATGAGTCTTTTACTATTGAAGGCCGAAACAAATACACACTTGAAATTCCTGACATTGAATTGTAAAACCACTTTTGTAATTCCCGACATTGAATTGTAAAACTATTATCCAAGTCCAACAATCTTAATACCTATACCATGGAAAAAGTCCAACAACTTTAGAAGACTATTCTAAAATATTCAGACATTAGACCCATCACACATGGCTAGCACAGTTCTATCTATACTAGCATATTCTTTCCCAGACCTGGGTCTGGTCACGTGTCTATCTGAAACGTCGCAAGAACTGAAGGAAGACACGGATAAAGACTCCATGTAATCGGACGTATCGGACGCACCTGATGATGTGCTTTTGTTGGTCATTTGACTGTGTCTCACAGTTGAGTCTGTTTCTCCTGGAAAAGAAATTATTATCGATTAAAAACTAGCGATTTTTTCTTTTAATTATATATCGCTATATCTTTATATGCCTGTGTTTCTCTGTTGTATAAGCTATAATACTAAAAAGTTTCATCAAAATCCGTTCAGTAGTTGTTGCGTGAAAGCATAACAAACATACAACATATATCCTCGCAAACTTTCGCATTTATAATATTAGTTGGATAAGGTTTCAAAATCCCTTGGAAAATCTTTTTTACTATTATATAGAATGGATTTATGATAGTGTACGACTTGAAAACAGTTTATATCGTTTCTTTCACGATACCTAAACCGAAGTAACTATTAATAGAAGTTCCAAATAGCTAGCCTAAAGTATTTTTTCTGGCGAATATAGAATTTAGGACGAGTACAACAGACATATAATTTTATATAGTCATATTACGCGAGCGATACTGGGTTAAATAGTAGACAAATTATGTAATTAAAACTTATATTATATCTACGTACAAGGTCAATTTTTGCTGAGTTTTAACAGATAAGATTAACGCATATGCTATTCTTATCTCTTGCATTATCTTTTGTTATCAAATATAGTTGATGCTTGATACTATCTAGATTCACTTCAAAATACAGGTCACGTGCGAATTATTTTTGAACAACTTCGAAATGATGGGTTCATACTAATAGCCTATTTTCTCAAATCCTTATAAATTATAGAGTGTAATTACTATTTAATATACTATATTGGTGAAAACAGTAAAAAAACAAATAAATGCAAAGTTAGCGCGTCTATAATTTAATATTAATATGTAATGAAGTAATTATTTCGAAATAAAGTATGAAACTTACCTATTCTCTTCTTTCGTCTAGTCAAAGTGTCTACCTCACAGGAATTCGATTTGGTCATAGTTGAGACTTCTTCAAATTGGAATGTCAAATTTTTTAGTGGATCAGATGAGTTTGATTTAAGAAATGGTCCATGCAATGGGGTTAGAGTGTTTCTGAACGACTTGTTCTTATGTTTTTTGCACGATTTCGAACTAGTAACCGGCATTTCGAATTCATTGAAATCTCCCTTGTGATGTTTCAAAGAACCAGTGGACACGCCCGAGTCGTTAGAACTAGACGAGTCTCTATTTTTATCTGATTTGCTCGGAACGCTTGATGATCTGCGGATCTTTACAGCGTCCCTAAATCTGGCGACCAAAATATTCTCAGTTTTTGGTTCAGGCGACTTAAATTTTTCCTTTTCACAATCAATTCTTAAAGGCACACCTTCATTGATACAATTAGTTTTGCATGTTCGTCGAATCACTGTCGGTGTGAAGCAAATTCTGCCATTTATACTAAATTCATCGTCTTGACGCTTGGTAAAGTCAGCGGAACTAGACCGCCTTGTACTGATAGTGTTATCAGTATCAGAATGTGTAGGATCAGAAACGTGGCTTATCCTGCTAATGTTGTCCGAAAAGTTTTTGCTGTTACTTGAACAGCTGTTTTCAATTTCTAAATGCATATAATTTATATCGTTACAACAATCTGTTGGATGCACAGTGTTTGTGGTGGCTGTTGATATATCATCGTCATTTTCCGGTATGTCTTCCAGCTCGTCTAACTCTTCCTGACTAAATCCAGCATTTTTTAGAATGTGCAAGGAGTTTTCAAAATCATCTAATGTAGCTCGATCTATGTTTGTATAGTTGCTTAAGTCTATTATTGATTTTGGATTGGGGGTGATGTTGACGTAATTTGAATTGGTTTCAGTTACACTATTATCACATATTTCTTCTGTTTGGTTGTCATTGTTTTTGGTTTCGTTTGTTTGTAGGGCGCAGTTACAAGACTGGCCGATGAGACATTTTAGTTTCTTTGGTGTATCGTAGAGGCTTGCTGCGTCAGAGCTCGTATCTACTGGATGCTCCTGGAATTACAATTAATATGGTTTAATAAGTGAAAGAGATAACAAGTGAAAGAGAAAAAAAAATATGTGAGCGGGACAAATTGATAAATGATCCAAATTTAAACTTAAAATATATGTCCTTTATTCATGTTTTCAGAAAACGTAAGTACGTGATAAAAGTGCCACGCACTTCAAATAAGTGTAACTGCTTTAAATCTATATATTTCATTTACAAAATATTCTTCATTAAATAACAAGCAATTTATTTGAAAAAAAATTAAGCAAAAAAAAACACCTGAATTGAGAACCCCCTCCTTTTTGAAGTCGGTTGAAAAATCAAATGCTATGCAAGTTTCTATATTCTTACCTGAATTAAAGGCATAGGTGTCTTTGGCACGTCATAATTTTCATAAGGTCCATTAAACGTCTTCTTCTTGCAGCAGCAGGGTTTTGGTTGCTGCCAACATTGGCAAGTATTGCCAGTTTTGATTGGCACAATTGGCGTACAGCAGATAGGACTGGCTCGTTTAGAATCAAAGCTTTTGTCAAGACAAGCACTGCGAGGTACAGAATATTCTGAGGCACTCCCGCTTGAACGGGAGTATATTGAGGCACGATCAGAATCTGAACGTTTCTCCATAATATTTTCCATTGTCCATACAGGCGACATGATAGAGCCAGGGGTGTTCATTGTTGAAGACCTGAAATAAGAAAATAATTCCTTTGAGATAATTACGTAGACATTTTTAATAATAGTTTTTTAATAATACGATAACGAGTGATGACATGTTTGGCTCAGTTTGTAGTGTGCTACTACTTACTTGCTGTGCCAGCGGTCACGGGTTCGAGTCCCGCTAGGGGTATTCATTTATGTGATGAGCACGAATGTTTGTACTTCTATCATGAATGTTATATTTATAATATGTATTTATTTAAAGTTATATATGTATAATGTATCAACTATCTGGTATCCATGACACAAGCCTCGTAGCTTACCATGGAACTAGATGGTGCTGTGTGTTAATGTTCCATAATGTTTATATTTATACATAGAACATGTTTTACTACACAGGTATGTAACGGAGTTGCCATTATAGATCTAGATATATTATTTGTTATTGATAACATACACGGTTGTTATAAACGCTAGTAACTTATCTTCAGAGCAAAAACGTTGCTGATTGTTATCTCCAATTTTTTACCAAAAAGATCTATTATTCAGTTAAGTTTAATAAACAGCAACACAATTAGTTTAAAAATCCCAAATAATTGCAATTTATAGTTTATAATCTACAAACCTTGTCAAATGACTAATCTTCCCGATGCAACTGGAACATCTTGGCAAGGATGTAGGCCTTCTGAACTTATCCTCGTTGCTGTCTAGACTTGTGTCTAAATCTGATAAGCAGTGCATAGTCTGACTCGCGGGACCCGCCCACGAAGGAGACACGGACCTCATAGATTGATTGAAGCAGTCGTCCATACAAGAACTGGTGTCGGAATAACGTTTTTCTAGAACTGAGAAATTTTATTGTTTTAGTTTTTTTTAATCTAACTAATACATGCAAAACTATGTCTCTCTACACTTAGTAAAATTAGAGATAGAAATAATATTTTTTCTTAGAAACAGAGAGCAAAATATGTCCATATAATAATTACCCTCTGTTGCAGAAGTTATCTTAAAGTATAATGTTCTTTAAGTTATTTGTGAACTAATTTTAATTAATAAAAATTTAAGGAGCAATATTTAGAATCTTTGCATCCCTAAATTATTTAAGTTTCTAACGCGTAAAATAAATTAAAAAATTAGCTTAGTTGGAACAACTATTACCTTCGGATTCACAAAAGGAATATCAAAATAACATGTTTTTATATTAAAATTGATACGTTAGTAAGTAAATAATGGTATATCCGTATACAAAAGTAAGTAATCCCACCTGATCCACTTCTAGAAGCAACACTAAGACGTGAATGTGCCTCGTGAGTATAAATATTGAGGAGTTCCGTAAGTTCCCTGCCACCTTCTGCGGCGAACACAAACAAGCCGGCGCCCTTGCCACAACGGGAACCACCCTCGACGCAAAACCGCTTATCTACCATACCAAATCTCCTGTAGGCAAAAGAAAAATAGTTTAGAATCGTAAAATAGAACATTTTGTTGATTCAATGATAGGGTTTTCTAAAGGATACAGATTTATTCCTCTCAGATTTCCATGAATAAATTATAAATAAACATTTTACAACTAACACAGTGAGGAAACCTGCATGATCCTGCTGAGATTATCTAGATAGATTATCTAGATAGCTTATCCAAAGATATATGATATCCTCCAATATACATATAGCCATCGTGGTAGATTATACCTAAACCTCTTCACAATAGGGAAAACCCGTACCCAGTGGGACGATAAAAACTCTGAATAATTATTTTTTATTTGCCCAAACATTACAATTATCGTTTACCAGTCAAGTGATATTTAAACAATTGGCTAAACTAAGTTATCACAAATATTCTGAGAAGTGTAATCAAAATTTTTATCAGTCTCTAACATACTGGATGCTTATTTTGAAAAACTCCTTCCACGCACTTTAGTCCTTATGAGTAAGATCCATCAAGATTCTATACTAAAAACATTTACAAACAAGATTTACAGAAAAGAAAATTCAAACTCCAATTCAATCTTATAATGGAAAGAAAAATATAAGCGTGTAAACAAACAAAACCTCACGTAAAGCATTTGCTTAATTGCTCTAATTACACTTTATTCCCCAAACGCCGAAAGGGAGATACCGCCCGTATATAATTAATTTAGAACTAAATTAATAGTTTTTTATACCGTACACTATGATTGATGGAGTGATTGTAGATAGCGTCTATTGTTTTATTGTTGATATGCGTGTCCCTTTGTCTAATATTCATTAAGCGATTTGATAACGGTTTTTTTGTGCCACTACAATTTTTGTGGAAGAAAAAACAGTTAAAATATCAGTTTAAAACGTCAAAGTTTAATCATATTCGGAAGATCATTAATGTCTATTTATAATAATGTAGAAATTTGATACTTGTATAGTACAATATGATTCGTAATACTCAAGAAAAGATTTTTCTTGAATATTTCTTCCTTTAACATTCTTTTGGCTAGTTTACGTACGTACAGTAGAAAATATGATACCAGTTATTCGCTGTTTCTGCAAATATTTGAAGTAGTTACGGGTATATAGTCAACCCCAACTTCTAAAATGAATACCAGACTAGACCAATAAATCAAAAACGTCTTCAAACTTGGACTCTCGTTTAAAACTCCAAGCCCCAAACAATAATTTCGAGCTAAATTTAATTTCCTCCACGTAAGTCGGAGATAAGGAAAATTGTTTGACCGCGATGGAATTTCATTTCCGGCGCTATCACTGCGCTGTAGCATGCCTGATATTCGCTTCAACGTCTTAGCAATGATGTATAATAACTAGAAATCCTTATTATCTATACATATAATAAAGTTCTGAGTTAAATCTGTATATTAAATATTTTTTATAAAATCTTATTAAAATAGTCATTATTATCGATACAGAGGCCGAATCTATAGTTTATAGAATTTTTGTCCGTCTGTTTGTTTGGGAACGTATCACTAGAAAACCACGGAACATATTTTGATGAAATTTGGTATGATGATAGCTGGTTATCTGGGTCAACATATAGCACACTTTTTACTGTGGGAAAATATGTTATCTATGAGATATCTACACTAAACATTAAAAATATTTGAATTTGTTAAGTACTGTATGAATACTGATGTAAGTTCCGAAAGCAGCCTTTAGGCAAATTTAATAATCGCTAATGCCTCATACATATATAAGTAAAGAGCAAGGATTAAATATAAACGCTTTAATAATTATTAAGAAAATTAATCGATTATTTCTTAATCAGTATACATACGTTTCACAAAGCATACAATTTACTCAAGAGCTTTTAGAATGTTCAATTATTATTATTGTTTACGTACATATCAAAATGGTATTGAGTGAAACAGCACATTCATAAAATAACAACTAAATTAATATAGTATTTAACAATTATACCATATATATATATATATATATATACCGGGTTAAAAACTAACCTATGTCCTTCCCAGGGTTTCAAACTGTATTCATACCAAATTTCATCTAAATCGGATCAGCAGTTTCGCAGCTTATTCGGTACAAACAAAAAAAAAATCTTTCCCCCTTTATAATATTAGTATAGAAAAGTGTCTTACACTCGCTTCTCTCGGGTACGTCCCTGCGTGCCTAACAGTACTCCTTGATAAGTGTTACTCCAGGTTATCTGTTTACTAAATTCCATCCAAATCCGTCCAGTCATCTCAGTGTAAAGGAGTAACAAACATACATAAAAACTTGTATGTATAATGTAATCCCATACTATTTTTGGTTTCTGTACGCCTAAATCAATTTTTAATAAAAATCGATTAAATAAAAATCATAATAAAATCGAATAATTTTTTTATTAAACTCCCTGGCGAATATAGTATTATATGAAAGATATTGTATTATTTTTATCGCCATGAGAAGCGAATAAAGCTACGAGTGAAAGGTAGTCTTATTTATATTCAACAGAAAAGAAGTAGTAGAAAAATGTACCTTATATTTTTCTACTTAATTATGATCTATCTAGCAAATTGTATCCTGCGTTCCAGACTCGCTGAGTCTGTTGTGAGACCTAGAGACGGGCTTTGACTCGTGTATTTTTCTCGCAAATAAGAATTGAGCTTTTGTTTTGATGTCACATATAATATGATACTTTGTATTGTTTTGAATAATCATATGTTTATATACTTGTATTTACTTGTTATTAGCATTCTAAGTTTATTTTAAAGTTCTACTATATTTTAAATTTTGAGGTGTGCTTTTTTGATTACATTCTTTATATCCGTGTAAGCTCAAGCACCTGCAACTGTACATTTTAAGGAATTAAAGTAAAATGATGATACGTTTTTACGTTAGAAAATAACTATCTTTACTAATATTATAAAAAGGAAATATTTTTTAGTTTATTTGTTTCTTTGTTTTTTTTGTACCGAATAGGCTCCGAAACTACTGAATCGATTTAGATGAAATTTGGTAACAAGATAGTTTGAGACCATGGGAAGGACATAGGATAGTTTTTACCGGAAATCATCGCTTAAGGAGGTGAAAATGGGGATGAAAGTTTGTATGGGGAGGCAACGTAGTGACGAACACGAGCAAAGCGAAGAGGGTGAGTCACTAGTTAGAAAATAAACATTAAAAGCTTTCATGTGATGCTAAGAACAGAAATTATCTCAACTTACTTAGTCGAGTTATTTAAAATAAATCCTAAATAAAATTTCATAATTGAAAATACTACACAAACAAACTTTGTCATACGCAAGAATCAAACTTGTTATCTTCATTGCAACTTGAAATAAACTAGCAGTGAAACATAAAAATATATACGTGTCGAATTGAGAACTTCATTTTTTTCGTCACTTAAAAAATAGTTTTATTACAATCGGAATAGGCTTTAAAAAAGCTTCTTCCGCCAAAACACGTGTTTAGTACACGTTAATGCCACACGACGCAATAAAAAGTTAACAGTTCCGATAGCATCTAAAAGTGGCGTAGTTCCGCTCGTAAACTTGACGTTACAGAGTTACGCGTAACAAAGTTGACTAGCATTTAAACTTTTAAATATGTGGGGACATTAACACACAGCACCATCTAGTTCCATGGTAAGCTACGAGGCTTGTGTTATGGATACCAGATGGTTGATACACTACACATATATAACTTTAAATACATACATATTATAAATATAAACACCCATGACTAGAGTGCAAACATTCGTGCTCATCACACAAATGAATGCCCCCAGCGGGACTCGAACCCGCGACCGCTGGCACAGCAAGTAGGATCACTACACTACACAACTGAGCCAAACGTGTCGTCAAACTTTTGATAAGTAACAGTGTATTTTATTGAAGATAATGTGACCCGTCCTTTCTTTTCTATACATATAATAAAATTATAACTAAACCGAATCTGTACATTGAATATTTTTTAAAAATCTTATTGAAATAGACTTTATTATCGATACAGAGGCCGAATCTATAGTTTTTAGATTTTTTGTCTGTCTGTCTATCTGTTTTTCTGTCTGTCTGTTACCGCATCACTGAAAAACTATTGGACGTATTTTGATTTTGAAGTTAGTATGTGCGTATGTTTGTCATTTCTTTACACTGAAACGGTTTTGAATGAAATTAAGTATAGATACTATAAGCTAGAGCAACACCTAGGCTATTGTTAGATACCTAAGAAGTAAGGACGCGCTCGAGCGAAGCGTAGGTAAGTCGCTAATATAATATAATATAAAAAAAATGCTGTTCTAGTCTAAGCAAAAATCCACGTCGAGCTAGCGTCTACCAGCAAAATAGTGCACTTGTAACACATTTCTTTTATAAGCTTCATTCGGAACTAAGTATGGCATCAAATCTTGAAAATCGATTTTAAATAATTTTAAATGTATCGATTTGTATTCGTGTAATGATGGCAATATCATAATTTGATACTATCGATGTGATGTTCATGCTTATTTAATTAATTTTGACAAATTTCTTAGATACATTCCAGAAGCGTGTTTTTTTTACTTTCAAAACTATTAACTACAATAACGTTAGTAATAAAAATACAAAATTCTTGTTGAATAAGTTTTCATAAATCGTTCAGATATCGCTTTTAATTATCGATATTTATTTTACATTGAGTCTTAAATAAAACTGGTACTGATAATTCCGCTTTAAGCCAATTAAGAGCAAGCTTTTCGTTAGCAGCCGAGAACAATGGAAGCTCTTACCGATTACGACCGAAGGGTAATTATATCAAAACAAAGAATCTTAAGTTTTGAAAAATGCAATTAGCAAGCTTAATTTTAAGCTCATTTTAATAATGCAACACCTTTTATTAAAACTTCTAATAAGAATGTATGTTTGTTCATCACACGAGATATCTATCGAATAAAGCATTGTTTGTGAGATTTTTATTATTGAAAATTACTAAAAATTACCTAACCACTAAAACAACATGTTATCTGTACTA